CCTACGACTTACCTCAATGACCGTGTCTGAGGCTTTCAGCTGTAGTCTGCGTGTGATCACCTGCACGAGTTCTCTGTACAGCGCACACACCTGCGTGTGCGTATGATGGTCGTATTCCATGAGATCGGCCCACACACCAACCATCTCTGGCTGCACAGACGGGCGTTGTGCGTGCGTGTGTGTGTGTATGGGTGCGTGCGTGGGTGTGAGTGACAGAGGTTGCATCACTACTCTGCCCTGTCCCCCCGGTCGTGTGCGTTTGTGTGTGTGTGTGGTGTGTGTGTGTGGTGCGTGTGCGTGTGGACTCGTTCGTGGGCCAGAGCCTTCGCCGTCGCCGCTCGTGTCTCCATTAGCAACCGTTGCTACGCGTGCTATGTCCGTAGCAACCGTTGTCATGTGCACGCCTGGCTTTTTGTTAGCAGAGAAAACCTTTGTCAGCAGACGCGGGCGTGTCTGTGTGAACTCGGCGATGCACTGCAGCACTGTGGTGTCCACAAACAAATGGGACATAATACCTGCAGCAGCCACACGCACCAGCACCTGAAGATATCTGGACAGGACAGGGCAGGAGGAAAACAGGGCATGAAAATGGGTGCGATGAAACAGGACAAGATAATAGGACAGACACATAACTATATCTATCTACAGCATATACCTACACTACGAGAACATACACTCCACTAAACAACATACACAACCAACATACGGTCCACTAAACAACAAACACAACCAACATACACTCCACTAATCAACATACACCCATCTCGTACACAACCAACGTGGGTATAAACTCCTCACACAAAAGACCACCACATACTCAAACACAACGGCAGGACTCGTCTCGGATAGCAAAGCCTTGCTGAGTGCATGCACCAGATGTCTACCCAGAGTCAGCTGACCTATGCCTCTGCCCATGGACCCATGGGCACCTCCCTTGACACTGTGGAGCACGACACCCGTCAGTGCAGAGTGCAGCCAACCCACCACACACCGGTGATACGCCTCACGCGACAGGGGATACGATAGAGGAGCACGCTCTGGGAGGAAGGTGTTGGGTGAGGGTTTATGTTGTTTTATATTACAGACATATATATATATATATATACACGAGTGTACACACACTCACATAAGTGAGTGTGGACATAGTTTTACTACTATAACTACTACAACTACTATAATTACTGTAACAACTATTACCCCTGTAACGTAGCATGTACGCATCATGATGTACACAGACACTCACTACAGGCCAAACCTGCACCTGTCCTGCACCTATCTGCACATTACAGGACTGAACAACTCCCGCCAATAAAACCTAAACCCTAAAACCCTAAAGCACAAAAAACCCCCTAAACCTTAAACCCTATGCACGTACCTACAGACCCGTCCTCAGCTACATCGCTCAGCACCGCACACAGACACACATGACCTGCCCACCGCTGCCGCACAGAGGTGCCACTCATGGCATCCAGAAACAGCTGCAGCGTCAAGTCCTTCTCTGCATTGGATTCTGGTGTCGTAGGTTCTGTGTGTGGGGTGGAGAAGATACATAGGGTGAGTGTGAGAGAGATGATTAATGAGTGTATTGGTGTGTTAATGTTGTGTGGTTTATTAGTGTGTTGGTGTTGTGTGGTTTGTGAGTGTGTTGGTGATGTGTGCTTTATAAGTATGTTGGTGTGTTAGTGTTGTGTAAATTATGAGTGTGTTTGTGTTGTGCAAATTATGAGTGTGTTGGTGTTGTGTAAATTATGAGTGTATTGAAGTTGTGTAAATTATGAGTGTGTTGGTGTTGTGTGGTTTATGAGTGTGTTGGTGTTGTGTGGTTATTGAGTGTGTTTGTGTGTTGATGTTGTGTAAATTATGAGTGTGTTGGTGCTGTGTAAAATACGGTTGTGTAGGTGTTGATAATGAAAATCGAGCGGAATGGTAACTTCTGCGGACAGTTGTAAATTCACTCCTTATACCGATTGAACCGCCAACAGCAGAACACGCACACACACACACACACTCACATATGAATGCCCAAGAGCACACATACACACCCACGTACAATTCATCTAACAGGGTGCACATATACCTGCATTGCTTCGTGGGCGTATTCGCTCCTCCACAAACACGCGCAGTTTCTTCGCAATCAGATCAACCAGCGCGCACTCATCTTCCGCATTCGGCCCCTCCGGACGCGCACGCGCCGAATTCAGCGCGGACGTCCTCGCGACCGCAGTCACGCCCCTCCACGACCGACACAGCGTACGTGCTGCTACCAACATCACTTGGCCCAACACACGCGCAGGAAGCAACGGCACCATGTGCACATCACAACGCACCAACGGATGAAGCCACTCGGTCACATCAGCGCTACCATTATGCGGCCGGTGTAAGGCGTTGGATCTGTGGCGAATGAAGGTGTGAAGGATGTGAATGTCATGAACAGAAGTGAACGTATACGAAGAGAAAATGTACTAATCAAAGGGAGAGGCGAGGAGGAGGAAGAGGTACACAAGCTGTACAAGACTGAGCATATACACCATACAATGTTAAATATGTATTCAAATACACAATACTTTATGATGTAAATACATATACGCTATATGATTATATTATATATCTACATAGACACAGTACTATATCATATACATACATATACACGATACTATGCTATCTACATACATATGCACAATACAATATTACATACATACATATACACTCCACTATATTATATATACATCCATATACACAATACTACACTGCACACATACATACACACGATACTATATCATCCACCCATGCACGCACGGAGTCTACCCACCTGATGAGTTTCTGCACGGCCTGTGCGTCGTCCATAGTCTCAACCAGAAAGTTCGGTACTCGACACGCGCACAGCAGTTGGCCTAGTTTGGAGCTTGCGTCTTGCGTGCGCAACATCAGAAGAATACCGTCTGGCGGTGACGTCACACATTCCTTAGCCATCGCAATGACGTCATTGGCGGTCAGCGTGTTGATCTGATGTGCGATGGCGGTTTCGGTGGTATCCGGGTAATCTGATTGGTCGCTTGAGATATTGTTGTGATCTGATTGGACGCGGGCGCGTACTACGGCGGAGAGCAGAGCAGCTGCGGTCTGCTGCTGCTGCAACATAGCATCATACTGTGAAAGGCCATCGCCTGTCTGTTGCTGTGTGTGTGCTATAAATATAACCAATCACACACGTAAGCAATACATTAGTATGACGACACAGCACAGCCATCGCCTGTCTGTTGTTGTGTGTGTGCTATAAATAGAACCAATCACACACGTAAGCAATACATTAGTATGACGACACAGCACAACCATCGTCTTCTGAATGCGACAGACAAGGTGGGACAATCAGCGCATTTGGGCGACACGGCGTACGATGGAATGTGGTGGTATAAACCTTAAACCATAAAACCCTAAACCCTAAGATCCTAAACACTGAAGCCCTGTAAGACATGTCCAGCATTTGCCTTTCATTTGCTCCACATACTATGGCAGCTGCAGCCACACATGTGCGATCAGTTGATGCACACCCGAACACTCGCACAGTAAAACCCTAACCTCTAGCCAACACACACACGCACCACTTGAACCCTAAACACTTAAAACCTTAAACCCTAAAAACCCTAAACCCGAAAACCCAATAACTCTATACCAAATAAAACCAAATAACCCTACAACCCTCGGTCAACCACTCAGCCACTGCACCTACCCGGTGATGCATCGGCTGGTGCCTCGGCGTAGTACAGCACCAACGGATTGTACACAAAGCGCTGTGTGATGAGCATTTGCATGATATGGCGTGCGTCTGCGTGGTTGGTCCACAGATATGTCCCCAGAGTGGATGGGTTGGCACAAGCACACTGCACAGCCACCAGCAGTGCCTGGTAGTACAGCCCCGACGAGTGCAGCGACACACCCACCGTCAACGGCAACACCTGCGGCACACACCAGGGCACGTGCGAAGGTCATGTGTGTAGTGGAGGAAGGGAGTGAGGGAGTGAGTGAGTGAGTGAGTGAGCGAGTGAGCGCGCGTGTGTGTGTGAGAGATCTGGCGTGAGATGCTTACGTGTGTATAGTATAAAGCGCAGTCAGCAAGCAGAGTGTTGTTGGTGTGATCATTGCATACGCATCAAGGACAATGTCACACCTGCGCACAGCTGCGGAATTTCATATCACCACTTTGGGTTGTCCGTGTCTATTAGCAGGTCTAGTTGCTCTTAGGTTTGAAGAGTTTACAAACCTTAACCCTAACAACAAAAACGTCCACATGTCACTAATTAATAACTGCAGATTCTACCTACAACCCTAATGCCTCTCAGAGCACATGCCATCCGCAATCGACAAATCAGAAGTGCTAGTCACAGGTCAACCCATCTACCTACTAAACAACATTTCACAAGTACCACTCTGCCTGTAGCTATCATCTCCAAGGGACCTCGGCTAAGAAGTATATAGCACGCACTAAAACACAACATAAATTAACATGCACAGGCACTTTTAAACCCCTAAACCCTAACACAAAACAACACACCACAACAAAACACAACACATCATGAAATGCACAGGCACACCTTGGCAAAGGGAGTGGTCTTAGGGATGAACAATACAGCACATCACATCACATCACATCATGACATGCACAGGCACACCTTGGCATAGGGAGTGGTCTTATAAACAACACAGCACATCACAGCACATCACATCGTGACACGCACAGACACACCTTGGCATAGGGAGTGGTCTTACAAACAACGCAGCACATCACAACACATCACATCATGACATGCACAGGCACACCTTGGCATAGGGAGTGGTCTTATAACCAACACAACACATCACATCCTGACATGCACAGGCACACCTTCGCATAGGGCGTGGTCTTGACGGGTGCGGTGACTGTCAGTGTCGGGTGATTCTCGTGCTCTGATAGTTTAAACAAACCACTCGCGAGCACAGCCGACACTCCCGCAGAGATGGTCAGCGTCTCCACAGACAGCGACGTCATCCCCTGCAGCAGGCGAGTGGGTGTGTGGGTAAGTAGTGTTATGGTTATTGGTTGCTAGAGCATGGAATTGATACAACGATCAAGTGGACATTATAATAATACTGAATTAGTCTGTAGAATGTAGAATGATTTATAGTATACTGAATTGATCTGTATATTAGCTTATATTAATACTGCACTAGTCTATAGAATGGCTTATATTAATACTGAATAAGTCTGTAGAATGTAGAATGATTTATAGTATACTGAATTGATCTGTATATTAGCTTATATTAATACTGCACTAGTCTGTAGAATGGCTTATATTAATACTGAATTAGTCTGTACAATGGCTTATATTAATACTGAATTAGTCTGTAGAATGGCTTATATTAATACTGAATTAGTCTGTAGAGTGACTTATATTAATACTGAATTCGTCTGTAGAGTGGCTTATATTTATACTGAATTAGTCTGTAGAATGGCTTACATTACTACTGAATTAGTCTGTAGAGTGGCGTATAGTAGTACCTGATCCATGGAGACGCCGTCTGCGGCTGTGGGTGTGCGTGACAGTGCATTGTGTAATGCCAGAGCGCGTTGCACCGACACTTCCACCAGGTCCAAACATTGCTTGGAGGTCAGGCGCGTGTGCCCAGAATTCTGGGAGCAGGTGCATGAACAGAAATATACCGTGTTGTTAGTATATATGTAAGTGGTGGGTGAAGATTTGCTATTAATAATAGACATACAAATTGATACGGACAAAGGTGCTATGATGACTATACTCACTATATCTACTATAACTACTATAACTACTATAATTACTACAACGATTCAGGTTTTAGGGTTGTAGGGTTTTCAAACCCTGCAACTGAGTGCACACGTGGTCACCACTACAACTGAGTGCACACATGGTCACTACTACAACTGCGTGTGCACGTGGTCACCCCATCACCTCAGTTGGCTTTAGGCCCATTGTCAGTAGACTCAGCAACGCCTCCACATGCAACGGCACACGAGTGAAGAGTACTGTGAGATGAGTCATATCAATCGACAGCTCACTGGGCGCATCAGCGTTGACGTACGTGATGGGGTCTAGTTGGAACATCAACTTTTGCACCTGAACAGACGAGAAGAGACGAGAAGTGAACAGAAGAGAAGAGAAGTGAGAGAAGAAGAGGGTCAGGCAAAGACACCAGTGGCAGGAGGATGACATGTTAGGGTATGGGAGTGTTAGGATGTTATTTTAGATGTATGGGAGGGAGTGGTTTTACCAGAAGTATGTTGTACCGGCATGGAAACAGATAATATGGATTCAAACTCGGGGAGCATGTACTGTGTTAACGAAAACAAATTGATTATGCATATGTTGTGAACAGATATATACGCTATCAAGAATGGATAAAATATGGATAAAATATGGACAATACGCACACACACACACACACATATATATATATATATATATATATATATATATNTGTGTGTGTGTGTGTGTGTGTGTGTGTGTGTGTGTGTGTGTGTTGT